GCTCCAGTCTCTTTCTGTGAAAAACAAAATATGCCAATTTGCAACCCTTCGAAAAGGGACAGAGGGTCTTGCTCGGAACACACATGATTCCCATGTTGTCTTAACTCTCCCCATTAGATTGTTGGGAGTGGATGATCCTTGTTTAAGATAAAATCTGGTAATGTTGGTTTTAATTAAAACAGGACCAGTGGCATAACTGTTGTCATGGCGACGGCACAACAGGTGTTATTTTGTTTCTTTTGTGATGTACATTTCTGGTGCCAAGTTTAAAGAACACTGCTTTAATATTTCTAGAGATTTTCTTGATCGAGTGTTGAACTGTTTTAGTGGAACCACCTATGACGTCATCACTTATAATACAAAAACGTGAATATCTCTAAAACGAAAAAAGATATTCCAAAAATGAAAACGCCATTCGTCTTCACTTTGAAAAGCCTTTCAAATCAGCAGCAATTATTTTTTACTTCATAGGCACTTTTAAAGGTTTCTGCCACTTTGTTTTAGTTATTGTGTGGTGAGATCATTTTCAGCCCAAAACTAATTAATAGAAGTCAACTCTTATACGAGGTATACGGGTATATTGCATCTTGTGGGTTTCGTGCATTTTCATTTTGGCCTTTTCTCTCTCTTTTTTTTGTTCCCCTTCTCACTGAAGTATCGCATCTTGAAAAGTCACGCTCATCATTTCCGCACTAATTTGACTCAAATTTGAAATTTTAGTCTTACAAAGAAGACACAGGATGATGACTACAAGTTGGGTAGCGGTGCTTGACAAAAAAGAACACAAAAACTGGGTGACAGTCGGATGTGCCCTGAACATAACCAAAAATGGAATTGCACCATTAATCCAAGGGAAAATGGACGCTTGGTACCAGTCCCTCATTTCCAGTCCGCCTTTGCAATCACTGCCTCCATGTGCTTGTGCGGCTGGCTCTTCAAAGTGTGGCACTTGCATCAAGTGGGAGATGGAACTGAAGCATCATCACAAGTCCGGGCGACCAAAGATTTGTTGCGATAACAGTGACAGAAATCAATGGGGTTCTCCAACTGGAGCCTGGGAGATAGCAAAAATCTTTATGCCAACTCTTGGAACGCGAAAAACACATGTCATTGACGCAGAGACCACAGATATTGGTGGCCTGTTGAACCTATTAGAGTGGTGTCCTTTTATTCACCCTCCAGTCAGTCGAACAGTTTTGACTTCGGCACGAGACCAGTGCAGGAATCACTGGGCGCATGCTCCAAAGCAAGAACTTCAAGATGCAGATGTCAACACCATATTTGGTCACCTTAATAGCCTGCTAAATGACCCAGTCTTCAGCTCTGACAAAGACGCCCAGAAATCGTCCAAAGATTTGCAAGACGTAAAGACAAACGGTCTGGTAAGCGTCATAGATTCTGAAGCTGAGGCTCTTCGTTTACTCCGTCAGTCACTGGTAGCAGACTTGACCAAGTGCCGAGATGATTTGGATGCGGAGACAAAGAACGTGGCTGAAGTAAAAGAGCAAAGTGATTCGAACAGTGAAGAGATTACCAAGTTAAGTACTGAAGTAATCAACCTTCAGCAGAAAATATTGACAGTCTCAAATATTGTTGAAGATTTCAATAGGCAACTTAATGTGCGAGACGATCTGCAAGGAGTCTGTGACCTTATCAGTGAGGATGTGGAATACGTGAAAAGTGGAGTGCAGAATGTTGTTATGGAACAAGCTATTATGAAATCTCAAGTACCACACTTAGAACAAAACCTCTCAAGCGTGACTAACCAGGCAGCCACAAACAGAACTGCAATTTCAGGTTTACAGAGAGAGGTATTCGAAGTCAAGGAGACATTGAAAGCGAAACCCTTGCAGGAACAGAACATTGATGATAGCGAGGCAATATGCACTGCACCAGCAAGGTTGACATCGTTCACAGGCCGTGAGACAGCTTTGGCATGGTTGGAACAAAATCTAACCCCACAACATAGTCGTGAAAATTGTCCAGGGATGTCCTGTTTTACTAAAACTGTATGTGGGCTTGGAGGATGTGGTAAGACTTCTTTGGCTGTAGAATTTGCTTGGAAATGTAAGAATTGCTTCCCAGGTGGTGTGTTCTGGATCAACGGTGAAAGTGATGAAAACATCAATAAGTCAGTTGTAGAGAACCTTGCTCTTCTGAATATCAGTGGCTCGACAAGTGAGAAAGTCGATGATACCCTGAATAGATTTTTATCCTTTTTATCCAAGAAGAAACAAAAATGGCTTCTGGTAGTGGATAATGCAGATGAACTGGAAGATAAAACATGTCCTACAGGCGTGAAGAAGATATGTAAAGGGTCTTGGCAGCGAAATGGCAGCATACCTAAGCATGGACACATACTGCTCACAACAAGGCAAACTGTGAAAGAGACGAAAACGTTCTTGAAACTCTCAACTGGTGACTGCCTGGAGCTACAATGTTTCAGTGAAAAAGAGGGGGCAGTGTTCCTAATGCAAAGGACAGGTGTTAAGGGAAAAGCCCTCGACCAGGAAGCAGTTAATCTAGTGAATGAGCTGGGAGCTCATCCATTGGCTCTCGAACAAGCAGTTGCCTATATATCTGCCCTTCCTATTCCTTGCAGCTTCAAAACGTACCTTGACGAGTACAGAGCTGTTAAACTTAGTCTCTTGGAGCAACAGCCGGCCACGGCACTAAGTATAGAGGCACACCATCGCCTATCAGTGCACACAACCTGGCTGATGAATTTCGAATTTGTTCGAGACAAATCGCATGCTGCCGCCACCATGATGCAAATTGCAGCCTTTTTAGAATCTGAAAAGGTTCCTATTGATGTCATCAACCCTGGCCTCCCTGAATTGGAACAAGTGGAATTGAGAAAGGGTGCACGTTCTGAAATTGACATTGCTGCCATTCTTAAAGTACTATCTTGTTATTCACTTTTCTCAGTTGATCAGCAAAGAAGAGTTTTTGGTGTTCATAAACTCGTTCAAGAAGTAGTCAGAGAGAGTTTAACCACATCGAAGAGGATAGAAACAATGGTAGCAGCCACTAGAGTTCTTCATTTTGCATTGCAAAGGATGATTAACATGCATTGGAGCCCTGAGCGTGCTAAATCTCTCTATTCATTCAATCTTTCAGAAATGAAGGACCAAGCAAGGCACGTTCTCATTGCTCTTTTATTGAATTTTCGCAAGTTCAAGAATCATATGGAGGAAGAAATGAACTTATCGAAAGAAGATAGTATTCCCGCTTTGTTCAACGAATGCACTCTAAGCCTGTGCACCTTTGCCTGTGATTTAAGCAGAAACAATTTGTCCCTTACTTTACTACATGCTGAACTATCAGAGTTCCATTTTAATGTTGCTAAGATGGTACGTGGGGATAGTGATCCAGATTTTCTTCTTCAAACAATGGTTTCCAGAATCATTGCCAAAAGGAACTGCTTAACACCTGGGTGTCACGAAGAATCAGAGAAGCTGGCGAAAGAGACTGTGCAAAAAATGACCCATTTTGAGAAGTCAGGCTGTACAATATCGAATGGCACTAAGTACAGGGTGCTCAAACTTAACGCTTCGTTTTACGCACTGGCAGGTCAGTGGGAAAAGAATTACAAAGCCTTGTTGGAACTTGAAAGGTTGCCACTTTGTAAAGCTGCCACTGTAGACCTTCAAATTCTTATAGCAAGAGCTGAAAGATTTGTTTTCGCTGGTGATTTTCAAACTGCTTTAAAACGCTATGAGAGAGCTCTCCAGCTTGCTAGGGAAATTTACCCTTCTGGTGATCACAACCTTCTGATGATCCTTCAGCATATCACCATGTTCCTGTACGACACAGACAAGACACAGGAAGCCAAACTGTATGCTGAAGAACTGTTGGATATTGCCAAAAAATGTCCATTAGATTCCTTTGAATACTTGGCCGGAATGACGAGCGCTCTCTCAGTGTTAAAAGAATTTGATGTTTCTAGGTCAGAGGGTATGTTATTTGCAATCCTGAATGAAAGGTGGCCTCAGATATATAAAGGCGTTATTGAAGGTTGCATGGAACCCAATTCAGTTGTCATTGAGGATGGTAGCGATTTTCACACCATCGGAGTGCTGGAGAGTCTGCTTGATTGCTTTACGGTAATTACCAACTCTCTTGACAGCAAATGCGTCAAACAAAACTTTGCAAATGAAAAGGGAGAGGTTTACCTGAGAATTGCACAAAGTTTACTCTCCATTCAGAAACATTTTTACGGTGAGAAGCATCCTGGGCTAAAACGCACTTATCTATATTTAAGAAGAGTACACTGCTTCTTAGGAAATATGAAACAGGTGGCAGAATTCTCAGCACTTTTGAACCAGTGTGAAGAAGCACCTATCCAATTCTACCGAAGTGTAGCTGATTATTGTAATGTGCCTACTCCTAGCATACTCAAGGATCGTGCAAAAAATTTTTATTTGTCAGGAAACTATTGGGGTGCGCTGGATTTATACACTCAAATGTTGAGCCTGTCACCAAATGATGCTAAGTTGTTAACAAACAGATCTGCCTCCTTCATGAAATTGTCGCAACAACCCGAATGCTCACCCTCAGCGCAAATCACGATGATTGACCTTGCACTGCAGGACGCTCAGAACGCTATAACTGCAGATCCCTCCTGGGTGAAAGGCTATTATTGGAAAGCTGTCTGTCTTGCTCACCTTGGCAAGCGAGGTCCATCACTAGCTGCAGCTGCTGTTGCCCAACATCTGTTTCCATCAAAGTGTGCCAAAATCCCTGCAGTTGAGGATCGCTTTGGAAGCTGCAATGCAGAGATAGTTACCACAGTGCAGGAACTTCTTCGGGCCAACGAAAGAAGAGATACTCAGAATCTTGTGATTGTCATGAAAGAGGGAAGATACCAGTTATCAAATCCTTTGAAACTTCAGGACAATACAGTGATGGTTGGACTTGGGGAAATGCAGATTACCTGCTCACAAGGAATCCCACTGAAAGTTAATAAAACTGTCTACATGGAAAACATAACACTGTCGCCCTCAATAGAGGCAGTCTCAATGCTGAAAGAGAAAGCTAAAGGATGTCTCAATCGTGGCCATGTGAACAAAGCACTATCTCTGTACAGTAAAGCACTGAATTCATGTCCAAATGATCCACAGATTCTCACAAGCAGAGCCTCGACCTACTTGAAGTGTGCAGAGCAAAAGAAAGCAATTCTGTCTGAGCGCGTGTCATTGTTGGAGCTTGCATTAAATGATTCTGAAGTTGCGATCAAAGCTAACCCTGTCTGGTTGCTTGGTTACTACTTCAAGGCAGCAAGCTTGGCAGGGCTTGAGAGAAAACAGCAAGCTCTGGCTTCAGCTGCAGTGTTTAAACACTTGAGCTTGGGTCGGGATGTCCCTGAAGTTACTCAGCGCTACGGCGATCTTCAAATGCAAGTTGTTCAGAGTTCAGTTGAGCTACGTAGTGTTCTTCAACAGGTTAAGAACCCTGGAGATGGAGTGAACCAAGTGGTTTTAGTAAAGGAAGGCGAGTACTTCTTGGAGAGAACTGTTGAAATTCCACAACCAATCGTTGTGGCTGGTCAAGGTAAAGTGAAAATATCATGCAAGATTGGAGCGCCTTTTCACTTTGCACAAGCAGGTCATGTAGAAATTGCTGAAATTTTTGAAAACTGTGGCAGTCAGCAGGAGTCTCAAGACTTCATTTCAAATTAAACTGCTGGACAGTCAGAAGTGATATCTCTGGCCACTTCCATAGGTTACAAACACATACTGCAATAGCGAGTGCAAGGTGAATTGATTAACACTTTTTTACTTTGAATGTAGTACGTCCTATGTTAATCAGTCGTTGGAACTTGTATTGAATGATTTTGAACCTGTCGTCAGCTGGTTAGTCTGTGTGGCAGGTGTCCAAAGGGGAAGGAAAGAGGAAAACTAGAAACGTGAAACGCTCTCCCAAAGGTTTCTCCCTCTCCCTCCCCTTTAATCGCCCGCTACGCAGGCTGTAAGTTGCAATACACTGTACATGTATACTTATTGTTTATTCCCTTTGCTACACTGAAACAGCAAGTTTAGAAAAGCTGATGATAAGATAACAAGATAGTTGTGCCTTTTACAAGAAACTCGCTTGCATGTACATTAGGTGTGTGAACTCTTTTTAACCTAGTGAGTTTTCATTGACATACCTCCACAGTTTTCAAAATTGTGTTTATTAATCTATTTTGTTGTTGTTGTGTGGAAATTAAGAAACTTGAAGTTGAACGTAGGGAAACATAAAAGTCATAAGTCATGTGACAACCATAAAATTATGCAAGTAAACAAGCTGATCAATTCAAAATAAATTAATAAGTAGTAATAATTAGCAGCTGCCGAGAAAAGAATAAGGAACTGCTTGAGCTACATGTATGGCTATTGATGCTGCTTCTCACAGCGTTTAATACTCGGGCTGCTCAAATAGAGACATAGCAGTGACGTAACCCCTGTGTTTGTGAGATCAAAGACTTGAATACGCCTTATTAGCTTGGGTGGGTGGTTGCTCCATTTCAGATCATGTGATGATATTCTTGAGAATTTCTTGCTTTCAAATTGTCAAATAGTCGCGTATTTATGAAAGAAGAATAATACTTTTAGATGGATAAAAGACCAATTCACTAGAGAACATCACATGGTCTGTAATGAGAAAACAAACCACCCAAGCTAAACGTTTCCTTTTAGATTGAGTTGTTCTTGTAAAAAAAAGCGAGTACTTAGTTGGAAATTATAGTGTTATTATTACTATTAAACAAGGTTTGTAGGTAAAAATGTCATAGTAACCAGGATTACAAATCATCTCTTCTGGAAACGTTCTCTGATTGAGAATTTGTAAATAGTCGCTGAGCTTTAAGCCTCCTCCTGAGTGTCTAAAGTTGGGCTTTTGTGACTTATGGACTTTACTTTAAAATAATTTTTTATAAATATGTTTTCTGGGTTCACGCTCTTAGGGTAGCACTTGTCGGGCAGTTTCGTTAGATCATGATGCAGCATGTCTTCTCAAATTCACTTGAACCTCCCTTAAGCAAAGCCTTTCTTGCTATTGGTCAAGCGGTTGGCAAAAGTTTAATAGGAGCAAAAATTGGCCATTTCCGAGTTGCCTTTTGCCTGTGTCTAAATGAGTCTTCATGCAAAACCATTCATATGGAAATGTTTTCCCTTACAGGTTCATTTCCTTGCAAATCAAACTCATTTTCATATGAAAGGTTTCGCACTAGTACTTGTTTTGAAACAGAAGCACAAGGTACATGTAACTTGGAAATAACCTATTTGGTATTATTTGAGGTAATCGCTAATAGAGGGAAGACAACATTGACTTGTAGCCTGCAGTCATTTCAGAGGCTCACAGCCTGCAATCCGATGTTCTCCATGATTGATTTTGTTGTCTTGTTGTTTGGTTTCATTCGCTTAGGTAGTGCAGAACAACTGTTGTTCTATAAACAATAGTCTCAATATGGCACGGAAATATGTGCGGATATTTGTCCGCAGACATTATCTGTTCCGAGAAGCAAACAGTTTTCCGAGAGCATAGCACAAGGAAACCTGTGAGCTTTTATGAACAGATAATGTCCAAGGACAAATGTGCAAGCATATTTCATTTTTGCACCAAATGGAGACCGTCCTTCTAAGATTTTGCGCAACACAGGCAGTTTTGAAAAGTGGAGAATATCACTTGGATATTCCCCAGATCATAGTTAATAGAGGGGAATGGTTATGACGCCCAGCAAACAAAGATCCCCAGATTTATGTTGTGAGGTCCACGACTGTGCACAATCTTTTGTTTTGCACTCATACAATAGGCATCAGTTATGTAACCAAAATGTTTCTATTGGTTAGTACCTCGGTCAGTAGTAAACAACTGTTGTGTTTTGTGCATGGTCAAGGTCAAAAAAAGAGAACAAAAACATACAACAAAGAACTTTGTAGAGTTTCATTACCATTCCCCTCTGTAAACTATGCCCAGATTTAGCTGGGGCATACTGGTATTCAATCAAGTGATGCATTTAGACCAATCCCATGCAAGCAAAAATATTTCACAGGTTATAAGGATCAGTTGACAGTGCATGAATCAAGCGTCTGATTACCCAGCCAGATGAGTGCACTAATGATCTGGGCAGCAAAGATTTTGAACTTTGATTCCACTTGGGGTAAGAAACAACTTTTGAAAAAATAAGAATTCTTGGTCAAGGAGCACTGGAAAAGAAAGCCTTTTTCCCTTGCTAACCTTATCTTATCCCCAAGTGGTCCAATTTTGAAAGCTTACTTGACAATCAAGGATTGAGGGAAACGATTACGTTTGCAACACATGCTCATCTCAACCACAGTTTTTCCCAGCTAATTCCCTTAAATCTGCATATGAGCTTATTTACAATTCTGAAACATCATCCAGATGCAACAGAGAAACACACTTTCAAAGGGAACTGTAAGGAGGCACCAAATCCCTCATGATTTGGATTGTGCTCTGTTCCTTGTTAACAGTCAACATCAACTAAACCAGACATTTAACAAGCTTCAGGCATGTTTATTTGAGACATTCATGTAGAGTTCCAAATTTGAATCTGATCAAGATTCATCTTCTCCCTCCTCATCTTCGTCTTCATTATTGATCTGGAAGTACCGCAGCTCATAAGTGGTCTGCGCTGAGGATACAACTCGCAGCCAGTCACGTAAGTTGTTCTTCTTGAGGTACTTCTTTGTAAGATACTTCAAATACCTGTGACAAAGAAACAAACTACTTGTTACTCGACCATCTATTCATTACACCTCAAGTGTCAGCTTACGAAAGTTTCCACCGTATCAAGAAAGACAAGAAAGGTACGGTTTGTTTGGGGCCAAGTACTCCATATTGCTGGAGCTTATCTGTGGTTTCTGTGGCGTAAGTGGCTAGGAGTATTTCTACTCCCCCCTGGATGGGATGCTAGTCCATCACAGCATTACCCCTGATTAAATTCACCAGTACCCATTTATACAACTGAGTGAAGAGATACAGTGAAAGTTAAGTGTCCTGCCTACAAACACACATGGCCCCGGCCAAGGTTTGAGCCCAGACCACTTGCTCCTCAGTCCTGTGTACAAATTATTGGGGCATTTGGAGATTGCATCTCCCAGCCTGACATGAAAGAAACTGGTTTTTCTGCCCCAATAAAGAAATCTAAAGCTACAGTGGCCTTTTGGTTAAGAATGGTATAACAGTAAAAAACTTGACCACAAGGAAATCCTTCATAATATCAGAAGAACCACAACTTACAACTTATTGCCAGTATACAAGTGAACAATTATATGAAAGATCATGTATTTGAACTACGGAGAAAGATATAAAGACATGATTGATCATTGCAGTTATATACACAGTACATGTATGCATCAAGTACAGCAAGGTGGTGTTGCCATACAGTAAGTACAACACCAAGAATTTTTCATTCTGACTAAAAGTCATACATGTTTGTTAGGCCTTGCTGTGCATACCAAGCAATCAACTTTATGGAAAACACAAAAAGTGCATCACTGCGATATCAACATGTACATGTGCACATAGCAGCTGAGTCACTGTTTGAAATGTGCTACGATTATCATTTGAGCAAGGTGTGATGAAAGTTTGGTGACCATGTTTTAACGTTCTACTTTTGTTGTCCCAGGCAACCGGCTCCTATTCCAGTGGCAACTTGTCAGCCTTTGACATAGCTAGCAGCAAAGTGTGCTACATTGAAAAGTGTGCGACATTGTTACCATTGTTACCATTGGAAACAAGGGAAGTTGCCCGTGGGAACACCACAATTTTAATTCCAAAACTTTGTCACCAAAGCCCTATTGTGCCTTACTCAATTGATAATCGTAGAAATATCAAGCATGTCGCAGTCTACTGGAACGAATAGTAGAATAATCATGGTTCAAATGGCATCCCTGATTACTGTATGTCCACAGAGGTTATCACTCCAAAGAACAAACGCCAACAAAGTTCACAACAAAGACAATAAAACTGCAGGCCAACTACCAACATGAATAGACACCACTGGTTGCTTCCTAGTTCCACATTTGTAATATTTTAAGTTGTCATCAGCCTCACCTCTTGGAGAATGGTATGTCTGAAACAACAGTGATCTTATTCTTCTGTCGGTCTATGGACAGATCATTGCCAAAGTTGTTGGTCTTGCCGCTGACCTTTATTCTCTCATGAAGAAATTGTTCCTGCAAAATAAAACATATTTTGGCACTTAGGGAAGGTGGCCCTAAGCAAAGCAATGCAATCAGGCAAGGGTAATCCCTACTAGCTGTATATGTAGTATATTGATCCCTTAGAAAAATTTAAGTCTAGTAAAGATACTGTTTCCCGACTCTGTAGCAGACATAATCGGAAACAAAATACCAAGGCAGAATCAGTGTTTTAGCAATCACAAGCTTTCCCACCAAATTATACCAGAAGTTCGAGTAACAAGTGGACAAAAACTTTGTACCGAGATAATTTACATCATTTCGCAAACTTCTGTGCGACTGTTTTAAAAAGCATTTCTAACAACACCAAATGTTGAAAACAATTTTGAAGTCATTGCGAAGCACTTAAAAGTACTGATGAAATGAAATTTTACATGTTTGCACAATTTCTCTGAACTTTAAACTTTATTTTCTCAAGTTCCCGTGGGAAATTGTTTCCAGTGTTATTTCAAGAAACATACTTATGTCTTTAGCTTTAAGAAAATGTAAAAGCGACTGTAAAATACCTAAAATCATTCTGGTACAAGGTTTTTGTCCACTTAAAACTGAAATTGCTCTGTTTCCTATCAAATTTTGTCTTATGTCATTTGCATTTGAAAAGACTCTGCATTAGCATTAGCCTCAGTTGCAGGCTAGTTCTTGTCCAATACCGAGAATACAAAAATGGTCTATTCATCAATGTCAATCAAACTTTTTTAGAAAAATGGTTCCTGAGCAACAAGCATACCAGACATTAAAATGTAGAAATGTTTCCGGACAGCAGTATACTTGAAAAAAATGTGACAGAACTTACAAAGTTGGCTACATCCATAATGCCATCTTCAACTGGATGCGTACAGTCCACAGTGAATTTCAACTGTGTCTTCTTCTTCTGTTGCTTCTTTTTCTGTAAACAAAGACAAAAACAAAGATGAATTGGACTGGGTTATGTAAATTTATAATTGGCATGGCATGATTACAAGAGATTTTATGTACTGGAGTGCAGTTGATACAAAAATTGCTCTACTTACAGTGTAGCTACTCAAAAGAAAATTCTTCATGTAAATACATTTTCAAATGCAGTTTAAGGATGATCATTGGAAATTATGGGGGAGAGGGTTTTCAAAAACCAAAGCTTTTAAAAGAAAGTATGAAGTTAGCCTACAATTTCCAGAGGGAAGGGAAGATCAAATCAAGTTTTCTGTGGGAGTGGAGTAGATTTTCTGGAACAAGATAGTTACTTGAGGTGATTAAAAAATCTATGCTTTTCAGCTTTGGAAAAGACAACGATTGTTCATAGCAATTTTTACCAAACCCATCTCGAAAAATTTCTTAAAATTATAGTCAGCTAAAATGTAAGCCTAANTTTGGTGTTCATAAACTCGTTCAAGAAGTAGTCAGAGAGAGTTTAACCACATCGAAGAGGATAGAAATAATGGTGGCAGCCACTAGAGTTCTTCATTTTTCATTGGAAACGACAAGTAATGTCGAGCATTGTAACAGTGAGTCAGCGAACCCTTCCTATTTATTAAATCTTTCAAGTATGAGGGAGCAAGCAAAGAACGTTCTCACTGCCCTTTTATTGAATTTTCGCATGTTGAAGAATCATATGCAGGAAGAAATAAAATTGTCGAAAGGGGATAGTATTCAAGCTTTTGTCAACGAACGCACTCTAAGCCTGTGCGCCTTTGCCTGTAATTTAAGCAGAAACAATTTATCCCTTCTTTTGCTACATGCTGAACTATCAGAATTCAACTTGGAAGTCGCTAGGATGGTGCGTGGAGATGTTGATCCAAACTTGGTTCTCGAAAAAATGGTTCAAGCAAGTATCGCGAAAAGAAACTTCTCCTCTCCCGGAAGTTACGTAGAATCGAAAACCCTGGCGGAAGAAACTGTGCAAAAAATGTCCGATTTTGAGAGATCAGGGTTTCTAATATCTAATGAGACTAAGTACGAGGTGCGCAGACATAGCGCTTCGTACTACGCAAAAGAGGGTCAGTGGGCAAAAAACTACAAAGCCTTGTTGAAACTTGAAAGCTTGCAAGTTAGTAAGGCTACTACTGTGGAACTACAAACACTTATAGCAAGAGCTGAAAGATTTGTATCAGCTTGTAATTTTGAAACTGCCCTAAAACGTTATCAAAGAGCTCTCCAGCTTGCCAGAGAAGTTTACCCTTCTGATCATCCCGGCCTTCTGGTGGTCCTACAGCATATCGCCACCTTTTTGCATGGTGTAGGCAAGGAACAAGAAGCTAAACCGTATGCAGAAGAAATGATGGATATTGCCGAGAAACAACCATTGGATTCCGACGATTACATCACGGGAATGACTAGCGCTCTCTCTGTGTTAAGTGCATTTGATGCCTCTAAGTCAGAGAATAGGCTGTTAGCTATCTTGAATGAAAGGTGGCCTCGTATATACAAATGCGTTATCGACGGTTGCATGGAACCCAGTTCAGTCGTCATTGAGGATGGTAGCGATGATCACGCAGCCACCGTGCTACAGAGTCTCCTCCAATGCTTCACTGTGATTATCAGCTCTTTTGACAGCAAATGCGCCGAGCAAAACTTTGCTAAAGAAAAGGGAAAACTTTACTTGAGAATTGCACAGACATTACTGTCCATTCGGACAAAGTTTTACGGTGAGAAGCATCCTGGGTTGAAACCCAGTTATCTCTTTTTGATAAGGACCCACAGTTTCTTGGGAAATGAGGAACAGGTCATAGAATTCGATAAACTTATGAACCAATGTGAACCAGAAGCATCCACCAAATTCAGCCAAAGCATAGATGGCGATTACAATGTGGCGATTGCCGGAATGTTAAAAGGTCAGGCTAACAACTTTTACAAAACAGGAAATTATTCGAATGCACTGGCTTTATACAATCAAATGTTAGACCTGTCGCCAAATGATGCTAAATTGTTGACAAACAGAGCTTTGACCTACATGAAACTTTCACAACAACCTGGCCAAAACTCATCGCAAAACATCTCTCTTGCCCTACGGGACTCTAAGAACGCAATAACTGCAGATCCCTCCTGGGTGAAGGGTTACTACTGGAAAGCTGTCTGTCTTGCTCACCTTGACGAGCGAGGTCCGTCACTAGCTGCAGCCGCTGTTGGCCAACATCTGTTTCCGTCAGAGTGGACCAAAATCCCTGCAGTTGAGGATCGGTTTGGAAGTTGTAATGTAGAGGTAGTTACAACAGTACAGGAACTTCTTCAGGCCATCGAAAGAAGAGACACTCGGAGTCTGGTGATTGTAGTGAAAGAGGGAAGATACGAGCTACCAAAACCTTTGAAACCTCGAGACAATACCGTGCTGGTTGGACTTGGGGAAATCCAGATTATCTGCTCACAAGGAATCCCACTGAAGGTTAATAAAACTGTCTACGTGGAGAACATAACACTGTCGCCTTCAATAGAGTCAGTCTCAATGCTGAAAGAGAAAGCTAAAGGATGTCTCAATCGTGACCAAGTGGACGAGGCACTATCGCTGTACAGTGAAGCACTGAATTCATGTCCAAATGATCCACAGATTCTCACAAGCAGAGCCTCAACCTACTTAAAAAGTGCAGAGCAAAAGAAAGCCATTCCTTCAGAACGTAGCTTATCCTTGGAACTTGCAGTAAACGATGCTGAAGCAGCGATCAAGGCTGATCCTTCCTGGCTGCTTGGCTACTACACCAAGGCAGTAAGCTTGGCAGAGCTAGACAGAAAACAGCAAGCTCTGGCTGCAGCTGCAGTGTTTAAACACTTGAGCTCAGGTCGCCGGGACATCCCTGAAGTCACTCGGCGCTATGGAAGTGTCCAAATTGAGGTGGTTGAGAGTTCAGTTCAGCTACGCAGTGTTCTTCAACAGATGAAGAACCCCGATGGAGTAAATCAAGTCGTTTTAGTGAAGGAAGGCGAGTACTTGTTGGAGAGAACTGTTGAAATTCCACAAGCGATCGTCGTCGCTGGTCAAGGTAAAGTAAAAATATCATGCAAGATTGGAGCACCTTTTCACTTTGCCCAAGCGGGTCATGTAGAAAATGTCGAAACTTTTGAAAACTGTGAGAGTCAGCAGGAGTCTCATGACCTCATTTCAAATGAAACTGAGGGACAGTCAGAAGTGATATCTCTGGTCACTCCCCCAGGCTACGAACACATCAATAGCGAGTGCAAGGTGAATTGATTAACTCTTTTACTTCCAGTGTAGTACGTCGTGTGTAAAGCGGTGGTTGGAGCTTGTATCGAATGATTTGGAAACCGTCGTCGGCTGCAATACACTGTTCGTTTGCTTCAACGGGACAACAACCACACGCCCATGAGCTTTTTTACAAGAAACTCGCTTAGATTAGACGTGTGAACTCTTTTTAACTCGGTGAGTTTTCGTTGACAAAACTCCTCAGTGATCAAATTTCTGTTTAATCTATTTTTTGTTGTGTGGAAATGAAGAAACTTGAACGTGAACGTGGGGCTACATATAAGTCATAAGTCATGTAAACAAGATAATCAAAATCAATCATTAATAACAGCCGAGAAACGAAACAGGAACTACTCAGACTACTGCTATTGCTGCTGATGTTCGCAGCGTTTAACACTCAAGCAGCTCAAATAGAGTAAAGCGCCATGGACAATTAGTGGAAAATGGCGCTATATAAATGTATATTTATTTATTTATTATTTATTTTATTTTTATAAAGTGCGAGTATTTAGTTGGAAATTATTGTTATTATTATATTATTATTATTGTTGTTGTTATTATTATTATTATTATTATTATTACTGTTATCATTATCATTAAACAAGATTTGCTAGGAGTAACCAAGACTACAAATCATCTTATCGTGTCTCAGAAGGTTCTCTGGTTGATAATTTTAAAAAAGTAGCATAGCTTTCCGCCTCTAGCCTTTAAAAAAAACTTGGGCCAGCGATGCAGTCACCATCGTGGCATCAGCATTTTCGAGAATCGCATTGTGATACAGTTTTAGAGATTAATTGCGCTTTGATTGACAAAATGTGTTTTAACAATCAAAGCGAAAAGCAGTGAAAACGTACATCTATTGTCTGAAGTTGGTCTTTTTTGTGCCTGGTTTAATATTATCCTCTTACTAACCGAGCGCGACGGCCGTTCTTGGGAATATTGGCCCGAGGTCGTGGCAGTAGGGACTGAACGCAGCGAGTTCCGTACAAAAACGACCTAGGACCAATATTCCCCAGTACGGCTCGAGCAAGCTAGGTCTGTAAAGTAGTTTATTATATGGCACTCGAGCATTAAAGTTTACCGGCTTTTGAAAACCAAAAATACGCGGCTTATGACTGTTTCTATTTTTTTTTTTAAATGCAACACACAAAAACTAGTTACAACATTTTACAGGTCATGACTGTTTCTATGGAAACGGTTCGTACGGCAAAATCCCGACGAAGAAAGAACCAATCAGAACGCTCGGATTTTCATCAAGACTACCTTACCATGTAAAATAATTTTATATAAATATGTTTCCTGGGTTCAAGCTCTTGGGGTTGGGCGGTTTCGTTACGTAATGATGTAGCATTTCTTCTCGAATTCAGTCGAACCTCCCCTAAGCGAAACCTTCCGTTTCTTTTAGTCACTTTGTTAGCGAAAGTTTATCGGAACAAGAATAATTTGGTATTCTTATTTGAGGTAATTTCAAAGAGAGGGTGGATAACATTGACTTGTCGCCTGCAGTCCGAGGGTTTCATCCATCGGAAATCCATACACAAATTCAAGAGTCCCTAAAAACGATTTAGTAAAGCTGCAATATAAGTATTGTGAACAGGGGTTGCTATGAACTTATAGCGCATGAATCGAGCGTGTGATTCCCCCAGACAGATGAATGCACTGATGATCTGGGCATCAAAGATCGAACTTTGATTTGGCCTGGGATTAAAAACAAATTTTGAATAAGTAATTTATAGCCAAGGAGCACAAACCTACCGTAAAACTCCGAAAAATAAGCTCCGGGGCTTATGTTTTTTAAAGGTTCTTTTTGAGGGGCTTATTTTTGGAGGAGCCTATGTTCGGAGGGGCTCCTATACGGAGGGAAATTTGCGTTTTAAAATCGGCTTTAAGCTTATACTTGGAGGAAGTTTGTGTTTCAAAATCGAATAGGCTAGCTTATAGTTGAAAGGAAATTCGCCGTGAGAGACGTAGAGCTTTCTACTCAGCCATGCAAACTTAAAGTACAACCGCAAATTACTTTATTGAGTGCAGGGTGGCGGAATAGAACTTCCTTGAAAGTACTTTGTCTATTGACGGAAGAAATCTAAGCTAAGAGTGAGTAGTGAACTATGCAAACAGCAATAAACTGTGACACTGTTGTACCTCGTTCATTTGGCACACGTAACAGTTCTTTATATAATAATAACAGTTCTTTATATAATGTGTTACTGTACTGTTTTTGCTTTGTTTTATTTTGTATATGAGGGCAAGTTCCGAGTATAAGTCCCCGGGGGCTTGTATTCGGAGGGGTGATTTAACGGTGGGGTTTTTGTATCACGAGTTTGAGGGTTTATATTTGGAGAGGCTTATACATAGAGGAGCCTATTTCCGGATTTTTGCGATACTTATCTTATCCCTGACTGGTCCAATTTTGTGAATATCAGAAGTGGCTTCAAACAGCAGTCAAGGCTTGAAGGAAACGATTACATTTGTACCACTTGCAGACCGGTAATGCAACCAATTGGCCTTCTATTACCACTATCTTCTTCCCAGCTGAGCTAATTCACTCAAATTTCTCAGACCGAGACCGTGCCGTATTAACCGAGCGATAGCAAAGTCAATACGGCAAGGCCGAGGTTTGAGATTTTTCTAAGAAGGCCGAACGTTCGAGGTTAATAAGCAGTTTATTATATGGCTTATTGCTTGGTTTTTGCTGGTTCGTAATCGGCCCGTGGGCATTACGGGAGAATAGCGCCCTAGTATTAGCCAATCAGAGCATGCTTTATATCGGCTACAAACGCAAGTCGAGTCAAGTCAAGTCAAGTCATCTTTATTTAGGCAGGATAGCTCCATCAGCCATAGGCTGGTATCAAAAAAGACCCTGCGTAAAATTAAGACTACATGATAAAAAAATCAGAATTTAAAAATTATCGCAAAGTTATGTACAAGGAGTTTAAAAATTGAATAAAAAGGAAATTACATATCTATGAAGTGCAACTTTTCTGTAATAATACAATAAAAGAGCACAATTAAAGTATATCTAAGTATTATATTGGTAGAAAACTGTTGGCTGAACTGAAAAATAAGAGAGTTCTTAAAAATAGAAAGCGACGTGGCTTCTTTTACTGATGTGGGTAAATCATTAAAAAGAACCGCACCTGAAAATCTAGATGTGTTTTACCCTAGCGTTAACTTAGGGTTCGGTAGGTGAATGTCGTTCCTTTGTCTTGTCCTGTAGCTGTGAATAGTGCGATTTCTAATGAAATAATACGCCAAATATGAAGGAACTAAGACATTTAGGCAATGTCTCAAGCGTGGCCAAGTAGACAAGGCACTGTCGCTGTACAGTGAAGAGCTGAATTCATGTCCAAATGATCCACAGATTTTCACAAGTAGAGCCTCAACCTACTTAAAAGTGCACAGCAAAAGAAAGCAATTTCGTCTGAACTTGTTATTGTTGGAACTTGCATTAACCGACGCTCAAGCTAGCCCTGTCTGGTTGCTCGGTTACTACTTCAAGGCAGTAAGCTTGTCAGGGCTAAACAGAAAACAGCAAGCTCTGGCTGGTGCTGCAGTGTTTAAACACTTGAGCTCAGGTCGGGATGTCCCTGAAGTTACTCAACGCTTTGGCGATCTACAAATGTAATTTGATCAGAGTTCAGCTGAGCTACGTAGTGTTCTTTAACAGATGAAGAACCCCAATGGAGTGAGTCAAGTGGTTTTAGTAAAAGAAGGCGATAACTTGCTGGAAAGAACTGTTAAAATTCCACAACTGATTGTTGACACTGGTCTAGGTAAAGTGAAAATACCATGCAAAATTGGAGCACCTTTTCACTTTGCACAAGCAGGTCATGTAGAAAATGTCGAAATGTGACATTCAGCAGGATTCTCAAGACTGCATTTCAAATGAAACTGCGGAACATTCAGAAGTGATATCTCTGGCTACTCCCCAAGGTACGAACACATCAATAGCGAGTGCAAGGTGAATTGATTAACTCTTCACTTTACTTCCAGTGCAGTACGTCGTGCGTAAACCGGTGGTTGGAGTTTGCATCGAATGATTTGGAACCTGTCGTCAGCTGCTATACAATGTATATGTTTGTTTGCTTCAACGGGACAGCAACTGTAGCAAGGCTGATGATATACACGAAGGCCATGAGCTTTTTACAAGAAACTCGCTTTGATTGGGCTTGAGAGCTCTTTTAACCCGGTGGGTTTTCGTTGACAAACCTCATTTATCAAATCTCTATTTAATCTATTTTTTGTTGTTGTGTGGAAATGAAGAAGCTTTAACTTGTAAGCTCTTTAAAAACTTTTGTTCTTGAAATTTTGAACCGAGCTCTTGGTGGCTATCGATCGCTAATCGTGCATGACTAAATACTCGTTTGACAAAAGTCAAACGTTAAAATAATAATAATAATAATAATAATAATAATAATAATATTTTTTTCGACAAATGACAATAGGCAAATTTATAAGGGTTGTAAAGAATGAGTGTAATTTGTAATTCGTTTGTAAGTTAGTATTTCCCTGACATATACATTGTCCTAAGAATTTTTACAGTTGTAATTTGTTATAAGCCACTAATAAACATTTTTTATTATATATAATAATAACAATAATAATAATAATAATAAGTTTTTTGGGTGCATTTAAAATACTCAATGCGCCCACATTACTATAAAAAATAAATAAATTAAATCCTATAAAATATTCCTAATAACAGTAATAAATAAAATAAATGAAATAATTAATTAACATACAGCTCCTTATAAAATAAAATAAATCAAAAGTAAGATTTCCGAAACAATAATGTTTTGAGGGCAGATTTAAAAGACGAAAGAGATGTTGTATTTTTAACTGAATCCGGTAGACTGTTCCATAATGCATCAGTCAATTCCAGCAGTGCCCATCCCCCCTCCCCCGCGATGATCCCGGGGGCGGGGCATTTGCCCTCTTTCTTCGTCCCCACCCCGGGGCATTTAGACAGCTTATGTGTCCCCACCCTGGGAGATTTGCCCATTTTTAAAAAAAATGCTAATGCCCGGGGGTTAGCCGGGGGGGATGGGCACTGCTGGAATTGACTGATGCATAATATAGATGCGGAGAAAGAAAAGGCACTTTCACCATATGTCACAGAGTTCACAGTAGGGACAGTGAAAAGAGGTTTAGAGGATGAGCGTAGGCTCCGTTGCGGGTGGTATTGTTGTAGGAGGGACGGCAAGTAGGCTGGACA